GTCTACCAGCCTCTGTTAGTGGAGGGAGTGCAATCTCATATCATGCACAGCTGCCTTGACTTGCCACAGAATTTCATAAATAGCTTTACTGCCACCAGATGAAAACAAAGACAGGAGGAAAAGCATGCCAAGTCCCACTAAACCATACACAATGGAAGTGATAGAGGACCACGATGGTAAGGTGGCTCTCAACCATTTTAGAATATCTGCCACTGCTTACAGGGTAGAAATGCGGAGAAATTATTTTTTCTATTATCTCTTGGCAGTAACACTTTGACATTGGTTCAATATCCACTTTGTCCCACAAGCACACAGTCATCTACTTGTACACATCTGGACTTATCATTTTTAACAAAACAATTAGGCAACCCGCTTCCCAATCCAAAATAATAAAATTCATTGCCACTTGCATCATCAGGCATTTTAAAGCAGGCTGAGCAATTAACCAAGAGTCATTCACAGTCACTACTATCTCTTTTTCCTCCCATATCGCAGGGTGCAATACTGTGGATCAGGAACATAAGTCCAGTATAACTCAGCCAAGATCACTTGCAGGATCATCATCAGCCATGTTTGTCGCCTCATTCTTTTCTACTTTTTCTTTGGCGCCCATCCGGCGAACCTCACCAGCCTTTCTGGCAGCCACCTGGCTCCATCTGCATCCTGTGGAAAAACACAAACATGCCCTCTTCCCCAAATCAATACAGGGTCGGGGCCATTCCATTGTCCAGTTAAAGGATCCTTCCACCTGACTTGGGCATAGGTATCCTGTGACTGAGGATGCCACATTCTGTCTGCTGCAGAGCAGTCATTTTTATCCAAATTCAAAAAGTTTAAAATGAAAAGAGCATGATGTAAAAGATTACTTGGTGTCTGGGGATATAACTCCCCTTTTCTTATTTTTTGTAATTGTGTTTTTAAAGCACCATGAGCTCTTTCCACTATACCTTGTCCTTGTGGGTTATATGGTATCCCAGTTCTATGCTCAATGCCCAATTGCAAGCAGAAACACTGGGACCCATGACTG